TATACCAGGTGTAACAGCGAAATTGTCCAAATCGTGTAAAAGAAAAATTGTTCATTTATTATATTGAGATCTGAACGGTTGTATCTTAGAAATGATTAAAGATATCTTACTGGAATTCTCTGAGGATTTTATAACACTTTTAGACTCTACTTTCAGCAATAAGAATGTATAATTACTCTCCAAGATTAACAGAAGACTCATGATGAAAACTATCATAAAAGAAAATGATATGTTTATCATTAATTAGCATAGCTAAGGAGTGGAAGCTCATGAAGGACTGAAATTATTCCAGGATTATTTTCCAATTTATTCAATATGATCTTCCCCCTCTCTAAACTTCTAACTTTCTGTCCTGGAGTAACAAGTTGACTCACATGTTCTACGTACAATTTCATTTTCAAGTTTTTTCACTGCACTTTTGGACTCTCATAGCTTAAACGCTTCTCTCACGTGATAAACGTTTTATAGATTGAGTTGGATCTTTTCTTATTGATCTCTTTAACTCTAAGTTAAAATGATGACCCCCCCTCTTTCCGTTGTTACCCCCCGGATCCAGTTTTCCTCTCTACTGTTCCTTCTTTTTTAAACTTATTCCCCGTTCTGTTCATAGTTCTTCAATGGACTTTAAAGATAGAAGCCAGAGTATGAATGCTGGTACCATTACTGAAGGCCTAAAAGATCTTTATCCTCTCACCATTGCTCAGTTGGGAAGACACAAAACGATTTTAACCTGTTCTCTTTCTCGCTGAATAACTCAAATGAATTTTCAGGAATTTTTGCGACAAATGGTACCAAGAGGGCTAAACGTCTTATCAGCAAAAAAGAAATTAAATTACTTTAGTGAATTTTTAGATATTAAATATTGTGTGGGATGAACAATTGTGTTGTTACATGATTTGATCTATTTTTTGTTACACCGTGTGTGTGTGTGTGTGTGTGTGTGTGTGTGTGTGTGTGTGTGTGTGTGTGTTGAAAAACATGCTGCGTACACAATTCCGGAAAATCCTTGTTGAAAACACAACTATACTTAAACATGAAAACAATAAACAAAAACTAAAAATTCTTGAAGCTATATACATAAAACAGTTGAAATCTAACCTGAACGAAATAAACTACGAAATCTCTACAAATATTCTTAAATGCCTATAATTGGTAACAGAAGCCATTGGCTTATACCAACGGCTTCCCTTACTTAATACTTCTCGTTTTCACTATCGCGTGGTCATGTGTGATGTCACGAGCTGTGAAGCGATTTTCGCTTCCACGTCTCGTATACACGAGTTTGTCGTTGCTTTGAAATTTTTCAAGCAACAAAAACAGACTATCATTATTGTTTCGTCCGTGTATTGGTTGATATATTGAAAGGTAATTGTCATCATTGATAATGGCTTATGTAAGACGAAAGCTTAGACTGGATTTAAACATGTATCAATATGGTGATTTCCTTTCGTCTTTCAATGATAATGTTATTAAGCTTATCAGACAATATGAAAGGAACTTACTTAAAATAAATAGACAAAACTTGTCTATATTATTTAATGAAACATGCATCAATAAAAAATTGCTGCATATATATATATATGTGGCCGAGTAGTTAGAACGTTCGCATTGTGACCATGAGACCCAGGTTCGAATATCACCATCGTCGATTTGTTTTGAAGTCACAAGTCATGGCGCCCCCAAGGGCTTGAGCGTGATGGCCTTGTTGATCACGCTAGCTAACACACTCTTTTCCAGAAACTGTAACTAAGGTCTATTCAGCATAGTGTGTGTTGAATAAACACAAATACGCCTGATCAAGCGTCTGCAATAGGGATTGGCTAGCCTCCCTAGTAGATAGTTATCCTCGAATACGAGTGTCCAGCTTCATATATATATATATATATATATATGTTATTACATACGAATATACAAGTAATCACTACAAAGATGCATATTTGTTTCCTGTAATTTGTTTCGTATTTGTAAAATATATATATATATATATATATATATATATATATATTATCCACAGTAGAAGTGGTGTTTCTTGGAATAGATAGTCTTACGGACCACAACACTCTCCAGGCCAGTTTTGAATTCACTGTTTTCCTTCTCCTAGACCTGTTTTCACCCAAGGCTATAGAACCCAGTTTATCCTGCTATTTACCCATAGCTGGGGGAGAAGAAGATGATTCGCACCATTTCCAATGATATTAGCACGTATGTAATGGAACCTATGGAATTAGAACTCGGCTCGGATTCCTCAAACCAAGCCCTATGCATTACTTCACTGTGCCTACTTACTATATATATATATATATATATATATATATATATATATAGAGAGAGAGAGAGAGAGAGAGAGAGAGGGAGAGAGAGAGAGAAAAGTGCAGAAAAGAAACATTAGAAAAATTTTAGAAGACCATGAAGACAAATGAACTTTGCGCCTATAAACACTCCATGGAGATGAGCTTAATCACAAGTTTAATATAGAATTCATATATAACCCCACAAATCAAGCTCTACCCACATTTCTCACCCGCACAAGATAGACATGTTTGCGGAGGTGTTGAGGTCTCACATTTATAAGCACACCCAAACTAATATATACACTTACACACATCATACACACTCACGAAAAACTAAATGATAATAATACACTTAACATAGACACATCCCCTTCCCAGGAACCAATAAAACTGTCCAAATGACCAAGGGAATTCAGCGTAGCATGAATCTATTCAGCCTCCAACTTAAAAAAAGAAAAATCTATTTAGCCTCTATCTTAAAAAAGAAAAATCCTCAAAGATGCCATTTCACCAACAAAAGGACTGAACAAAATTAACGATAAAAAAAAAACAAACAAATGAAAACTACAGATAAAATTCATTTTCTTCATAATGTCATTCATTCCTGTAGTTCACTGCTACTAAAAAGCAGGAATTGTTTTTCTCCTGATGATGTCCATGGTGGCCGAAACTAGTCGAGGAATCTAACTGAAATAATAAAACAAAAAAATATAATATACAGCCCAAAACATATATATATATGTGTGTGTGTGTGTGTGTGTGTATGTGTGTGGGGGGGGTTGGACAATAAAAATATCGATAAATTAAAATTACAATTATCAGGCACTCTGGGCTGTATATTAATATTTTTTGTTTTATTATTTCAATTAATTTCTTCGACTAATTTCGGCCATAACACTTTCCTGACACGATAGAGATAAAGCAAGAACAAAAGAAGCGATTTCATATAAAGAAACAGAGAGAAATCGTCTCTTTTTGTCTCTCTTTCTCGGTATATATATATATATATAGTCATTAATTCTTGTAGTTCACTATGTGTGTGTGCGTGTGTGTGTTTGTGCGTCTGTGTATGTATGTGTTTAATCTTACCTTCATTCTTCTAGCCACTTTCTTTCCAAACAAATATCTCCCCCCCCCGCCTTCAAACACCGACCATCATGAATTTACAAGCCCCACCCAACTCTTTATTGCCCTGTTTTGAAAACCGTCCGCACGCGTTTGATTCAACAGGCCAACCCAGATCTCAGGTGCTCGGCACCCACTGCCACCCTGAGTTAACTTGATCACAAAAGAAACAGGCCTCTCCTCCACCAAATGTACGCTACCCGCCTACACCCAATTTTCACCAACCTTACCCAGCAAGTCAGCTACCCAACCGCAAAGCAATGGTGGTTGGTTCAGAAGAAGCGTGCCGCCAGAAACAGTCGACATCCCATAATATTTACCTTTGACCTCCACGTGCCTACCCACGCGCCTGACAGCATACAGGAACAAAATAAAATTTCATATATATTTCATATATATATATATATATATATATATATATATATATGGATTAAAACGTAAATTGAATAGATAAATGGATATGAACAGATTGAGATAGATAGATAGATAGATAGATAGATTGTAAAAGAAAGAAAGAACGATATAAACATGTTGCATTAGTTTTTTGTATTTATTGAGTTGAACGTTTTCGATGTTCGCCGAACACATTTTTTAGTTTATCATATCTGAGGCTGATAAAATGTGTCACCCGACACAAATGCCTTTGTTAAAACGTTTTTCTTTGAATAAATGTTTTCAATTACTGTACATAGATAGATAGATAGATACATACATACGAAGTATTAGATAGATACAGAGAGAGATGGAGAATGGTAGATATGATATATATATATATATATATATATATATATATATATATATATATATATATATATATATATATATATATAAAAGAGAGATAAATATATAGATCGAAGAGACTGATTGATAGACAGCAATTGACTGTGATTGATGGATATGTTAAAGTTATTAATTAAAGCGTAAGATAAATAGAGAATAAAAAAAATAAAACCTCTGAAATTGAAGTATCGTCAGGCCAGGTTCAATCTTTTATTATGTGTCACTGGTGGTTTACCTCTTAAGAAAGGATATTCGTAGTTGCTTTTTTTATGGGGATTGGATGTTAAAAATTAAACCGTGGACGGCACACTAAAAAGATTCGAGCAGACCTGAAACTTAAGTTGCCCGATTTTATTTTTATTCTTAATTTATCTTACTTTTTATATATATATATATATATATATATATATATATATATATATATATATATATATATATATATACAAAAGACAAAAACGAAAAAATATTCTTAGCTGGTGCATTTCTTTATTTGAGGAACTTTATCAAGGCAAATGATAAAGTCCCTCAGTGGACGAAAAGAGTCGGTTAAGATAAGTTTTCCTCTTGCCTTTTTATTCGTTTTGTCCATTTATAAATACACTCCATCAGAAAATAATATATATATATATATATATAGAGAGAGAGAGAGAGTGCGTGTGTGCAGTAACGCCTGTGTATCCTTGTGTTCAGCGATGTTCGTCGTACACTTAGACACACCCAAATAAAAAGTTAAATGGGTTTTGTTTTGTGTATGAAATATTTTTTTACCTTATTTCCTACTGAAGTCAGATGGCATTTCTAAATATGATCCGGGACTTTAGATACAGTTTTTGCTTGGGTGTTTTCTTAGGTTTTTTTTTTTCTTTCTCTTTTTTTTTTTTATTTTTCTTCTTTCTTTTCATTTTTCTTTTCTTTTCTCTTTTTGTTTTTTCTTTTCTTTCTTTTTTCTTTATTTTTCCTATCTTTCTTCTTTTTTTCTTTTCTTTTCTCTTGTTTTTTCTTTTTTCTTTTCTTCTTTTCTTCTTTTCTTTTGTCATTTCTTTTTTCATTTTCTTTTTCTTTTCTTTTCTCTTCTTTTTTTCTTTCGTTTCTTTTTTCTTTATTTTTCCTATTTTTCTTCTTTTTTCTTTTCTTTTTGTTTTTTCTTTTTCTTCTTTCTTCTTTTCTTTCTTCATTTCTTTTTTTTTCTTTTCTTATTTTCTTTTTTCTGTCATTTTTCATTTTTTTTTTTTTTTCCTTCTTTTTCTTTTTTTCACTTCAGGACAGTTCTTCCACTTGGGAAACTGACGCAACACAGTCTACCGATTTTCTTATCTCACAATCTTAGTCATTCCCGACGGGCATAAATATACTGACTGACAGATAAAAAGGGGCTCGTATGGATTTGTACATGAACCCAATTCTAGAGTCGTATACATCAAGCAAAAGTCCAGGAGACTCTTTACAAATGTCCCTTAAAGAACTATGTTCCTGATCAAACCAAATACATGAATAATTATATTGGACATACCACAACATGCCTATCAAGAAGACTCACGTTATACCTCTCTGACCATAGCTCAATTAGGACTCATGATAATTATTCGAAATGTAAATTTCTTTATTGCATTAAAAAAGTAAAAATTAAAAGAGGTAATTCGCAAGTAGTAATTATTTAAAATACAAATAGCCTTAATAAAACAATTTATATGATATTGCACGCAAATAGTCAACTACTGAAGCGTACTTGTCTATATATCTGAGATGAGGTATTATGTACATTATTTACATTATTCGGACTATTGTCCTAATCGTTGTCACCATATTTATTACAACGTTTCGGCCGTTGTACGCTCCGGCCTTCTTCAGGTGGTTGGAATGTCGAACTGAACCCTTTATTTAGCTCACTGGGGTAGACTGTTCTAGTTCCACGTGCCATGTTTAATGGATGTCAGTTATCAGTTATCTCCTGTTCATTCCCCTCTCCAAGTTCTCCACTGCCATTAACCAGGTATTGAACTCGCACTCTTTGGGTCCTGTCACTGGATTTAACTAACGCTTTTATCCCCTGTGCCATGTGTCCTTGAGGACACATGGCACAGTGGCCATCCGACCTACAAATTCAAAAAGCTTTTTGAATTTGTAGGTCTGATGAATTGGATCGTGATCACGATTCCAATGTAATAAATTATAACCATGGAATATTAGGGTTTCAGCCTTTTATATTAGATCCTTTCTCTCACCTGGGCATTGAGTTCTACCTAGATGCTATCCTCTTGGGAATTTATATATATATATATATATATATATATATATATATATATATATATATATATATATATAAAACATCATCCTTGATAAGACACCGGAGGTGTTGAAACAAAAATGGCTATTTTGTAGTGATTTTATAAATATTTATGTTACATTTTTTTTAAATAAATATATATATATATATATATATATATATATATATATTGATCACTAATATCATCAATATCTATATATATATGTGTGTGTGTGTTTGTGTGTGTGTGTATCCACTACATGTGTGTGTGTGTGTGTGTGTGTGTGTGTGTGTGTGTGTGTGTGTGCGCGCATGTCTGTGTGTTATAGCGTAACTGATTTTCGGGTTAACACGCTGTGTTTTCAAATATTTTTTATGGACAATTGGGGTTACTTGGCGCCGCTCGACTTCTCTCTCTTCTCTTCTCTTAAGGGCGTTAATGCGAAAATAACCCCCACCACGACTAGAATCTGAACTTCAATTTGAACCCGCTCCTCTGATTTCATTTTTCGCGCTGATCGCCGTTAGAACAACTCCGCACCTCACACACACATACACACACACACACACACACACACACACACATATATATATATATATATATATATATATATATATATATGCATGTGTGTATGCGTGTGACCACAAGGCGCGTGCTTCACCACAAACTTCTATAGCATATCTATATCACCCTACTTCCCCGACACACCGTGCGAAACTTACCCACCCTTGTTTTCTGAACAATTTAATATACCCGGCATGTGGCTGGCACCTGCCTGGGCACACCAAATACAAGCGCAGGTGTATCTTGACACAAGTAAGCCATTGACACAACATCTTTCTTTATATATATATATATATATATATATATATATAATGAGAGAGAGACAGAGAAAGAGAGAAAGAGTGGGGGGTTATGTGGTTACCTTTCCCTACTTGGCAATTTATATTCTGGCAAGCACACCCATTCATTTCTTTGTTCTTTTATCGCTTACATTTCCCTTTTTATTTTCAAGAAATAATAATACGAATAATATCTAAGAATGTGTGTGTGTGTGTCTGTGTACGAAATAAAAATAATCACGCTAAAAATCAACGTAACAGACAAACAATAGAAATTTTTGTGTGTCCGAGTTTTGTTTTTTTTTGTTTTTGTTTTGTTTTGTTTTGTTTTTTTTTGTTTTTTGTTTTTGATTGCTCTAACCCTGTGACAAGCTGTGTTCGTCTACAGGTGGTTGATCATTTAAAGACACCTGTAAGCGAAGTCCGCCACCCCTACCCTCGCTACTTAACCGCCACTCGCCTATCTCCTTCGCCTTCCCCTTCTATTACGGTCCCCTACTCTCACTAATGCGACCTCCGCGCTCACTTTCCCACTCAAGCCCTGTCACCCCCCCCCCACACACACACAGCACAATCCCGCTGCCTTACGCTGTTGTTCGATCGCATGACCTTGTCGCCGGTCGAGCTCGTACTCTTGATGAGAGAGACCAATCAGAAGGTGCCACGTCATCAGAAGATACCAGTAGACGCGGAAAGGAAATGACGTCTTTTTAGAAGTGGTGGCGGTGGTGGATTCCCTTTTGTCTCCGTGTGTATATCTCACCTTTTGTCAACGGTTATGTAGATAAGTAAGTGTCTTTGTCTATTATTTGGTTTCATATAAGTACAATATTTAGTCTAAAAATCTGAAGTAGAAAAACACGCACAGACACAATTGAAGAGTTTCATAGATGAGTGTATAAACTCGTATATAAGTCGACTTCATATATATTGCGACCCTGATTTTTGTGTGAAAAACCAGACGTTTTCATGTATCTCGTGTATAATGCCACCACAACTTCTGAGCGTAACGATTTTCTAAGCATAGCTTAAATATGACACAAGACCGAAAGTAATGGAGTACCCAATGAGGATCGAACTCACTATTCAGTTGTAATTGATCTCGTGAAGCAATCATGCTAGACATTAGCAAGTACCATAATAATACATTGCGTATAATTTATATATAAATATTGGGATAGGCTTTTATAATGCTCCTCAATTGTCTTGATCCTATTGACAATATTACTGTATGCCGTAAATAAAGCTACGAGATTTAAAATCTATTTGGTATTTCATCAAAAGCAATCAATTATTTACCGTATATGGCGATGCACCATGTAAAAATATTTTAAGAATATGTAACAAGGAATTATAAGATAAAATAATACGAGTAAATGTAAAGAATATAATAAATATAAATAAATATAAATAAAGACAGATAAGAACAAAACTGACATATATATATATATATATATATATATATATATCGAACGAGGGGCTCCTTATGTAAATACGCACAAACGAAGATGAACGCAAATTGATGAAGGAAAAAAGCGTCTGTCTATATTTCTGAGATTATATATATATATATATATATATATATAGTGTATATTTAGGCACCAATTTATATATATATTTAGCAGCAATATATATATATATATATATATATATATATATATATATATATTGATGCATTTTTCATTAAATAATATGGACATGTTTTGTCTATTTAGTTCCTTTCATATTGTCTGATAAGCTTAGTAACATTATCATTGAAGGACTTAAAGAAATCGCCATATTGATAAATGTTTAAATCCAATCTAAGCTTTCGGCTTACATAAGCCATTATCAAAGATGACAATTACTTTTCAATATATCAACCAATACATGGAACAATAATGATAGTCTGTTTTTGTTGCATGAAAAATTTCAAAGCAACGACTAACTCGTGTATACGAGACGCGTAAGAGAAAATCGCGTCGCAGCTTATGACGTCACACATGACCACGGAAGAGTGAAAACGAGAAGTATTAAGTATGCGAAGCCGTTGGTATAATCCAATGGCTTCTGTTATCAATTATAGGCATTTAAGAATGTTTGTGGGGATTTCGTGGTTTATTTACGAAAGCTTAGATTGGATTTAAACATGTATCAATATGGTGATTTCCTTTCGTCCTTGAATGATAATGTTGTTAAGCTTATCAGACAATATGAAAGGAACTTACGTAAAATAAATAGACAAAACTTGTCTATATTATTTAATGAAACATGCATCAATATATATATATATATATATATATATATATATATATATATATATATATATATATATACACTTTTAGTAAATCCTGAGCATGTACCGTAATACGTAGAATTATTAGATAAAATAATAACATTAAATGTAAAGAATACAATAAATATAAATAAATAAAGACAGAATAAGGAACACAATTGAAATATATATATATATATATATATATATATATATATATACCATCCAAAAAGGGTTCCGTAGGAAACGTAATACTTCAGCGATGTAAACACATGCAAACGAAGATGAACGCAGATGAATGAAAGGTTAAAAAAAACAACTGTCGATATGAGATGAGATATTGTAACTATTTACATTGTTCGGACTGTTGTCTTTATCTTTGTCATATTCACAACGTTTCAGCCGTTGTACGCTCCGGCCTTCTTCAGGTGATACACGTTGGAATGTCTACCTAAACTGCATAGTGCGAACCCTGAGTATTTTTTTTATAATAAATATAAATAAACAAAGGAAGAGAGAATAAGGAAGACAATTTTGTGTTTCTTATTCTCTCTTCCTTTGTTTATTTATATTCATTATATATATATATTCATTATATATATATATATATATATATATATATATATATATATCAGACAAAGGGTACCATCAGAAAAGCAATACCTCAGCGAACGTTCGCGCGAAGATGAATGCCAATTGGAGAAAGGAAAAACAACATTGTTAATTCTTCATTTTATATAAGGTATTTGTGAATTTAAAGCGCCCCACATATTGAATTACGTTCTGCTGTTCATATAGCAACAGAAAGAAAGAGTCTAGTCTACGGCAGGCAGATCAAAGGAGCTTACCTGTACCGTGAAGTTTAGCCAAAGGTACCCTGAGAATGTAGGCCTACCAGGTAGTTTACGGTCACCAAATATGCATGAATTTTAAACCCTCCAGAAAAAAATTACCTATGCATAGTGTAAAAGATCACCAACAATGACTGTTATCATTTTTAACCTGTTCCAAACAATTACCTATGTATAGTGCGACCCAGTATTTTTGGCGTTAAAATATGACCATATAAATCTCATTACTCTGTCTCCCCACTAAGACGAGTTGTGATACAAGGTCGTTTTTAAGATGAGTGACCCGAGTGCGTACACCCGGGCTAGGAAAAAAAAAATTGCCCGCAGACACCGCAACCGTTGGTTTCGTTGGCCTCGGTGCGAGCACCGATTCCTCTCTCTGGTGCAATTAGAGGGCGCGGCCTTTGGTAGCTGTTCCCCAGGGCTGGGCACTTCTCAGTATAATTTTCCTCAGTTGCGACTCTGTTATTTGACGGAGCCCCCTCTGAGCGCATTCTATCCAAAGACAGAGACGCAACTGAGAGATGATAAATAATAAATAAAATACTTACTACACTCGGAGACATACGGTGGTTGCATATTACGCATCGGCGCCAGTAGTCGATGTTCGAATCTGAGTTAAAGTCAGGATTTGAACACTTTTTCTTTTCTTTTTTTGAACAGATAGGCCCTCTCAAATGCGCAATGTGATGCCATGGATCATGAATAATAAGATATCAAAAAACTGAATAGGAAAGACTGGCTCTTTTCGCTTTGGCTGACAACCATTCTACAGCAGAAGGAAACGGCAGGCTACTGCGAGGAAATCTGTCTTGTATCAAGTCCGATTGGGAGCTATGGACAGTGCTTTTTGGCCCTCTTTATCTTATTAACGGTTAGTTTTTTTTTCTACCTACATATATATACTTTACAAATTAAACTAAGCACAACTGTTAAAGGATGAAAGATTTTGGTAGATTTTGGCGTCATTCGGGGTCTTTTTTTGGCGTCCAAATTCGGGAATTTCTTTTGCTCATGTTAAGTCTCGAAAAACACGATATAAAATTTACTAATTCTTTATCCATAAATTTGAATATGTGAAAATTCTTCAACTTTTTAAGATAAATCTCAAGTTAATGTTAAAAATTCATGCAAAACATTGTTAATTTAAGATGGAATAATCAATTATGACATGTCCCTAATTTGTATTTAAATACATTGTATTTATTTTCAATTTTTCTAGTTGAATTGTTCACCTATATTGCATATGATCCATTATTGTTTACTTGCATTATTTACATTATTTGGACTGTTATCCTAATTTTCATTGCCATATTCACAACGTTTCGGCCGTTGTATGCTTCAGATGATTGGAATTTCGAACCGAACCCTTTATTTCGCTTACCGGCATAGATTGTTCTAGTTCCACGTGCCATGCCTTCAATATCTGTCTATATCTCTGAGATGAGATATTAAGATTACTTGCATTATTTACATTATTCGAACGATTATCCTCGTCTTCATTGCCATATACACAGCGTTTCGGCCGTTGTACGCTCCAGTTCTTCAGGTGATTGGAATTTCGAACCGATACCTTTATTTCGTCCACCGGTGTAGATTGTTCCAGTTCCACGTGCCATGCCTCTTCCGGGTGTCACAGTTATTTCCCTTTAACTCAACTCTCTAAGTTTTGGTTCACCACTGCTGTGACCTGGTATTGAACTCACAACTCTTTGGGTCTAGTCACTGGATCTAACCAACATCCTTATCCACTGGGATATGTGTCCTTGAGGACACATGGCCCAGAGTTCGGTTCGAAATTCCAATCACCTGACAAAGACCGGAGCGTACAACGGCCGAAACGTTGTGAATATGGGAATAAAGATGAGGATAACAGTCCGAATAATATGTTAATGCAAGTAATCATAATACCTCATCTCAGAGATATAGACACTATTGTTTGTTTGGCGTATTTTTTCAGGTAGTGTGAAATATCAACATCTTGATTATATAATTGTTTTACGTTCTAGTTACATGGATTATTCTTTTTGTCGTTGCTGATGCTGTAACTCATCAATTAATGTGGTTTTGGTTATTTGGTGAAGCTCTTTGCTTGTGATTCTGTAGCGCCAGTCTATAGGGTTTGACGAAGGAGGATTCATTTGCTTAAAACCATTTTTAATCTTTTCTGGCGCTATCCATGACATCCACATGAGAGTCTATTTAGGAACATGATTCAAGTTCTCATGTTAATATTTTAGTTTTGATTTTCAAGTTCGTGTATTGAATTTCTTATAAGTGATCCATTCACCGAAGTGTTTAAAATTCATTAATTCTATATTCCGAATTATACCAATTCCAGATGATAGCCTGTCTTTTGAAAAGGTTTATCTTAAGTCCTACTTCTTGAAACAGTTCATAGAGGATGTTGACATTTTTGGTTCAAGAGAATCATTCTTATACCAATTATGAATACTTATGATATGGCAAACGTTCTCAATTTTTGATCTGATTTGGCACTTTCAAAGACAAAGCATATCTGCAGTTAATCTTAGATCATCTGTGGTGGACTTTACAGCAATAATCGTAAAACGATGCTCGAGATTAGTGTTTATGCTGCTATCAACACC